AGTTGAACGGGACCCATCCAGACGGGCGCCACAAGTTGGCATCTGTAATATCTGCAAAAGTGAAGAAAACAAGTGCAGGAAGACCAGGAAGATGCGTAAGTCATGCTCAAGACCTGTGTGCAATCAGCACTGCCAAGAAATTTGCGATAACTGTAATTTTTTTTTTCGTTTGCTTTTTATGTGCTTGTAATTTTTTAACAATGTTTTATGAGGATTAAAAGTCCAGCGAAATGTGAGTTTATTTTAAGCACAGCAGAGACTGCAAAACTTCCATACAACATTAATTCCCAACGTTTATGCCCTCAGAGAGATTAAACAGCAGGAAAACTCAAGAAAATAAAAATTGCATGAATTTTCATCCTAAATTTTTCACCACCACTAGATTATTCACTTGTTCCAAAATGGCCGTTCCATGGACATTTAGTCAAATACAAACAAATGATGAGAAAAGTTTCTTTTTTAACTTTCAAAAAAATAAAGAGCATTTTATCCAAGCCCATTCCGGTGACAAGCTGTCAGATAGCCACGAAAATATGATGAACAGTGTACTGCTGAAAATTCAAGAATTTTAATACCCATATTGTAGGAACATCATTCCAAACAACTTCTATGGCCAATAGAGGCCCTACGGGAACCTGCTTCGGAATGGTCGTTATGGGGGCAATCCATCGGATGATCACAAAATTATGATAAACAGTCTCCTGCTGTAAATTCATGAATTTTGATACCCATATTGCAGGGGTTTCTTCCCAAACACTTCTATGGCCACTAGAGGCCCAACGGGAACCTGCGCCCGAATGGCCGTTCCGAGGAGAAACCTTAAACTGGTCCTAAAGGAAGCTGAAATTGTTTCTTGAAGGAGATTCTGATACTTTGATATCGATTCCTTCGAAATTCTAGCGAATGTGAAAGAAAATGCTTAGTTCTGGAAAATTATACAGGAAAACCGGATTTAAAGGAACCAGACTGTTTCGGATGGATATTGTTGGCAATGTCCAGAAAGAGAATAAGTTTTTGAATCCTATGGCGAGCTTCTAAAGGTGTTTTTTTTTGTCGATCACATAGCGGTTAAGAGTGGAGGCTGCTGACCAACGTCGGCACCCACAGCCGATCATTTGAGACATTGTGCGGCTGTTTCAAGACAAAGAGTCATTAGAAAACACGAACTCCTGACCTGCGTGCCTCGAAAGTATCAGTTTGGCTCTGTCCAGCCTCTTATTCGTTGTAGCTACCGTTACCCCATGAACCTTGTACGGTTTGTATCCCAGGTCCTTTTTCATGACAGGTTTCGAGTCCCGATCGACACTTCCAGGTTAGCAGCGGTATTCTGGATCGAGTGGTTCATTTTTCGACGAACCTGCTCGATGGCTGCTGGCGTCCTCGTCGAACGCGGCTGCCCGGATCTCGCACGGTCCTTGGCCGAGCCCGTTTAGATGAAATTCCGCTTCACTCCATAGGATTTCAACCACCGGAATATGTCGCCGGGTCGCTCACCTCTCGCAAACAACTTTACTACGACGTCGTGGTACTCCCTCATCGTGCGCGGTAAACAAACAACAAATGACAGCAAGTCGACACCGTGCGCGTCGGTTAGCCTATATATGAGGCTAAAGCTGACACTAATACCAATACACAGACTGCAGTCTGCATGCTCATGGTGCGCACCGATACAACGATGAAAAGTTGTATTCGAACTTATTGAACATCCTGTAAATCCTGTCAATTTCGCCTTTAGAGCGTCACAATAGCTGATTTTATGGTTCGTGAGTGTTCACTCAGAGTGAGCGCTCACGAATCGTAAAATCGCTAATTGTGATGCTCTGGAAGCGAAATTTACAAGTTTTATGTGTCAAAAACTTACATTTAATCCTCTTCTTGTAACTTAAAAGTACTAATTATCGTTATAATATCCAATGCTTTCATAGCAGCATGAGCAGCATGAGCAGCATGATTGAGCGCCCACGGTTGCTGCTCTGTTATTACCAGATCAGCTGCAATTACACAGAGAACCAACAGATGATGTTTGGGACTAACATTCATCCTCAATGTGTAAGAACTCGAGATCTAATATTTAGCAATACCAGCGCCGGCCGTGTCCGAATGCAGGTCAACTAGGGAATGGGAAGGAATGTGTTGACGTGGTACTCGCTGTGAAGGAAACCGAGAAATCCTCTGCGCTTCCACGAGAAATCACTGGGATGTTGGATGTGGGGATAGGTTGCACGGACACGCAAGGATCGTTTTTTTGGTAGAGCGATTATAATACACAAACACACACACACACACACACACACACACACACACACACACACACACACACACACACACGCACGCGCACTCATCCAATTTCTATTTTTAGATCAGGACCCACACTGTGGTAAGTGATGCGATCGGTGTTAAAGAAGAATTTTTTTTTCATTAAAATCTAGTGGGTATAGAATAAGGCAAAGTGAAAAATTGTAAGGAAGGGGACGGGCCTGGGATTGAACTCCCGACCTTCTGCTCAGTAAGCAGAAACGGTAACCACTGAGCTACCGAGCCTCGTCGTTATAATATCCAATGATTTCATAGTTCAGATAAACTAATTTTTATAGAAAATGAGTGGAATATAAAAATCTTTCCAATATATTGAAAAAAAGCTTACATTTCAGTCAGTGTACTTATGGGCAGTTTTTAAAATATTCACCATTGACACGACTTTCAAGTTACTAAAACACTGCATACATTTGTCTTTCACCAAGTGACAAACATGTGAGGCTCCATAATCGCTGACGTTACTCGTTACTGAGTGACAAAAAGTGATGGAAACTGACACTTATAATCAGAGCTGTCAGGTGGTTTTATAAAAAATCTGTATTCACTCTATTAAAAAATCTGTATTTTCTGTATTGACGATTTTTTTCTTAATTAATCATATTTTGTTGTTTTACAAATACAGTGCATACAAAATAACCATAAAAAGTGCTTAACCACCTATTCGGGCTATCGCACTAACCATACGGGATATAATTGCGCCATTTGTGATATCGTCCGTACTTATTTATAAGAGTGATATGAAGCCGTTTGAAAATGTATGGAGATTTTAGTTTCTATTCATTATCTTCCTGATAAGCAGTTTTAAATGCAAAAAAGTGCACGAGTTCATTACTATTTGATATTTTTAATATAGGTGAATACAATTAATTACACCATTTGTGTGGTAGTTACACCGAAAAGTCGAGAGATGTCGCCCCGCCAGTGCTGGTAAAATCATTTTTGCAGTATGGAGAATATCAGAAAATCCGCAATTTCTTACGAAATACATTTTCAATGCAAGTAAAATGTTTACGAGTACTTGTATTTGTACCATTTTAATGTGCTCGGGCACTTTTCTTGTATTTAACATACATGCTTATATTGGAAATATTCAATTAATACTGTAAATCCCCATACAATCTCAAATCGTTTACTACCAGCTCCATATGCATCCGAAAGCGGTTGGTCCTCTGGTTGTGAATGCTGTCAAAAACACCATAACATGATTAATTCAGTGCCAACATTTCAAAGGGGCGTAATTGCTTTTGTAAACAAAGGCTTTAGCCGTCGATTTCTCGCAAATAAAAGCTCACTCCTCCAAATTAACAATGCTAGCTGAAAGAGGAAACATTCCTCTACCTGTTGGTGCAATCAATTTTCATGAGTGAGCTTTTATTTGCGAGAAATCAACGGCTAAAGCCATTGTTTACAAATGCAATTACGCCCCTTTGAAATGTTGGCACTGAATTGTCGATGGAAATTTGATAGGTTCCCGAGCAGAGGGTGAGAACAAAATGAAAACAAGAATTATGTTGTTTTCATTATTCCTGATAATTCAAATTGATTTCATTTTGATTGAGTTGATGGCTAACAGAACAAAAATGAGAGCTAAAAGATATGCGAAGAATATCAAAATTAAAACATATATTGATATTAGTGAGAACTGCTTGATAACTTATTTTGATATAGATTTTTTTTTCTCAAGCATTTTATAAAAATCTGTATAAATCTGTATTGTAATTTAAAAATCTGTGATAAATCTGTATTCTGTATCGGGTCTGTATTAAGATTAAAAAATCTGTATAATACAGATAAATCTGTATAAATGGCAGCGCTGCTTATAATCGCTCCAGTGAAGTGACAACCTACAACATCAGCCCAGCATCTTTAATTTAGCGATTTGAAGAATCGATGGAACTATATCCGCTTGGGTCGAAGTGGTGGCTGATGATTGTCCGCGCTGATTACTACAGATGAAGCCGCTGGTGTGGTTGTGGGTTTCTTGGACAAATCGGAAGTGTCCTGCCCGTTGGAAGCGCGATTGGATTCAAACCACAAACCAATCTACATTGGTTCGGCTCTTTCGTGAATAACTCGACTACAAAAACGTTTCCTGTCATCTTTGTCGTATTAGACGCTAGATTTTTGCTTCTTCCATCGAACCTTGTTTTTTTATGCAAATGACATTTGTTGCGCATGTGTGTGTGATAGCGATGAGAGCCAGATTTTTTTTGGGACTAACTTTCATTAAACAGATTTTTGCTTCCATTCTCATAGTACGTTGAAAGTGCATCGTATGCCAGCAATTTTTCTCCATCAAATCAACTAGCTTAGATATAAGCGGCCGTTTTACCCCTCTTTCCCCTACCTTAAATAAAGTTACAATCTGAATGCTCAAAACTGACTGTTCTTTGCTAAGCTAATTTTCAACGAGATAAGTAATAGGCTACCCTAATAAACAGATACCATATCACATAAGGTTGAGATGACATCCCAAATAGGTGGTTAGGCACTTCTTAAGGTTATTTTTTATACTGAAAAATCATGCTGATTTTTGATGGATAAATGTTTGTCTGTCTCTCCTAGGTACACTCCTAGTCAATCCTAGGTTTTCTGATCCAACACCCGAGAGTTTCAATGTAGCATATACTCCCATCAACGCATCATATTTCTGCTAACCCTTATAGTAGATATTGAATGCTCACCTTCGAATTCTGCGATCCACCGTACAACAGGTTCTGGGATAAACTCCCGGCCGACGACGGTGATGGACTACAGCAGGAGGTTTCAATTAGTTCCTGTTTGATTCGAGCGGGCGTTCCATCGCCTGCCATCATGGAAACCTGAAAAAATAAAAGAAGCGCGAAGAAGAGGAAACCAATTAGTTCTGTGATGCATTGTGCTGTAACTTCCTTTCTTTCCAAAAAGGTGGGTTATTATGATTAACGCGAGAAAAAAATAGAAGTGAGAGGAGCTTATTGGGCCCGAAATCGTCTGCAATTAATTCCGAGTCGCTTGATTCGTTCATGGAGTCACACTCCCCCGGGTCTCATTTATTATCATTCCTATTCTTCAGGTGCATTCTTCGAAACTGGCTGGATGCACAAATTGATTGATGGAATCTGCCATGATCCGGCTGCCCCGGCACACGACCAAACTGCTGTACGATGCGATGGAGGGAAGTAAACCACGTCAACTTGCATTGAATGCTGCTCTGTGTGCAGTGGGGGTTCCGGCCGAAAAGAAGAACAAGAAACGATCTCCCCGAAAGCCTTGACAGTGTCTGTTGACCCCTCGTAAATCTACCACCCCAAAATCGGACGGTAAATGTGTGGCCGGCGCACACAAATCCAAACACTGAAGTACAACGCGATTGACGCTAAAGGCAGAATGATTCGGACAAATGATCCACGCTGAATGCACATTCAATGCTGGCAAGGGGTGAGTTCGGAACCGCCGGGACGGAAGATGGAAGATTTTTGCTAAGAATCGTGTCTTGAAGAGTTACTGCATTCAACAGCGGAGGAAGATATAATAAAACGCTAAATAATGAGAGAAAAATTGGGCGAGAACAGCCAAAAACGCAACGATGCGATTAATCTGCAAAAGATGCATTTGTGAACGAGACACTCGACAAAAAAAAAAACTGAGCGGAAATTACGCTGCACTAAAGTGGCAAACTGTTATAAAAATGATCGTCATCCTCTTCGGTATAAGCAACCACATCACAATCGACGCCACACGAGGGTGGTACATCCAGCTAAATGCATCCAGCGTTGAGTGCGACAATAAAAGTTTTCGGTTTACGATGAAATCATAAATCACACTGCTGTCAGAACTGCAAAATACAGCCTGATCAATCATAATGCGCTTGTAGTGGGTAATGGAATTGACAAAGTGACAACATCGTTAGTCTGTCTTAAAGGTTATACACTCAATCTTAATCGGCATCAGCCAAGTGGCGAATCCAAGCAAAGCTAAAACTGGTTGTGCGACACCTAGTTTTCAGATTAGGGTACTTAATCATGGTTTGAACCATTCAGGACATCTTTAAAACAAACGTTTTGATTTACTTTAATTTTCCAAAAGGCGCAGCTACAAAGCAAGTGGCTGGGTTCGATTCCTGGTTCGAGTTTTCGGAAAACTCTCAATTAATAACTGTGGAAGTACATCTGGAACACTAAGTTGAGAGCAAGCAATAAGATAATATGCGATAATTAATAAGCTTGAAATGCGAAGGCCCATAACTCACTGAACCAAAGAACCTTTTACTTTCAGCAATCCCTAAGCATTAGAGTGATGCAAATTTTGAAATTTTCGCTCCACAATACTTAAACGATTCCAAATCGGATCCTGACTAACCTCTCAAAATTTGAACCCATTTGGTGAGAAACTGAGATGGCACAAACCATTTGAAGTTTGTGTGGGAATTACTATGGTAAAACCAAGATTTTTGTTCATGTCTATCTAATAATTCACCATATCGGTCTGCTACAAAAGCTTTCAACTTTACTTGTAGGAAATTTTTCCAGTTACAACTTTGCTCAAGACCACTTTTTGATTAAATGCAAGGATCGAAAGTTATTAATGGTTCAATGCACTAATGTCTTATGATCATGCTCAATCAACTGCTCAGCAGGCAACATTGATGTTTCTGGGGCGTTGAATAGGACACAAAAATTATGGCTACTATGTCACACTGCAAAATACAGTGTTGTCTACAGAGCAGCTGCTTGATCATGTCATAAGTTTACCAATCTCTTAAATAATTAATAACTATTTCCTGTCTCGTTTAACATAGAAACGATCTTCAGCAAAGTTGTAGCTGAGAAAATTTTCTATAAGAATAGCTATCGAGCTGTTTTGCAGCTCAATATGGAAAAAGACTAGAAGGCAATGAACAAAAAGTTGAGATTTCCCATAGTAATTTACATGTAAACTTCAAATGGTTTGTGCGAAGTCTGTTTCTAACCAAATGAGTTGTAACTTTTGGAGGCTAATCACGACCCGATTTGAAACCATTTAAGCACTGTGGAGCGAAAAAGTCAAATTTTGCATCAGCCTACTAAGCATGCCTATATTGAAATATATATTGACATATGTATGGATAAATTTAATTTTACAGCCATATATGATAATCATTTTGGAGATGAATTGTACCATGGTTTGACCTAAGAGAAATCTTGGTTTGAACTAGGAGTTTCCTCGAATGGCCACCAGGAGTTTTGAACGGAATTTTGGTTTTGAACAAAAAACTGCTTCTGAATTTAGAAAATTAATGACGTTCTTAAGTGAGTTCCTATTAAGCTGTTTCAACTTATTTAGAGTGTGTCAGAAAAACTGTTATTTGACTGTCTTAAGCAAAATTTGATTTGCTTTATAATAAGTAAATAAAATAATAAATTTAAAAAAGCAGTTGTAACTCATCTATTAAATTATTTTAGCTACATGGGCACATAATACGTCTTTATGTCATACTGGACTACTAGACTTATTCTTGAATTAATTTGGAACAGGTTTAAGATACCTTTAACCAACCACTCTTCCCCCTCCTTGTTCCACACAGTTGGTATCAGCTGGCCGCCATAACCATCGTTGGGGCCCCTGGTCTGTTTTTTTATTGCCGGGTCCCTTATGATTTTATATCACACATGAAATAAAAATCAACAATCCTTTTTCATTTAAATTTAATTTTCTAACCCGCTTTTATTTTAACATACATTTAAAGCTGTGACTTCTAATACTTGCAAATTTGTGGATAGAAGTGTTGATATCAATTTTCATAAATATTGTGGTCATCATTGCAATAACAAATGGGCAACAAAATGGTGAGTTGACAACCTGAAAGGAACGGAATAACTAGCTCAGGTCCGCACAAGTTCTTACCTCACGCCTCCCCGAGTCATTTTATTTTGCTGGAAATTCAGCAAAAAATATGTTTGTTAGCTGAGATCTCGGCAAAATTCCCGTTTGTTAGCTGAATCTCAGCACGTTTTTCACTGAGAACCAGCAAAATAAAATGCCGAGCTGCTCGGTGGTGCCCATCTCGGCGAAAAAATCTAAGTGTGTATGATAACAAAAGACTACCAGCTGGAACATGGACACAACTGGGTGGCGTAGCCTGGGCAATGTTCCCAGTCCGACAATGGCAAAGTGAGGAGGTGCGACGCGAACACTGACGCGGTAACCAAAGTGCGGTGATAGAAGCAATACTTCACCAAACCCGAACGTCTGTTCACCATGGAGGAGCGGCTCAAAATGGCGTCTGTTCTCCATAGAGCCAGCGTGGGATTGGGGCAGGCCACCCTGGAAAAAAATAAAAAGTTGCAAATACCGAAGAATGAAATACGGATCGGAACAACCGGCACAGACCTACGCGACGAAATGAGGACTACGATTGGAAACTCGGAATATGAAACTGCAAATCGTTCGGTTTCCCGGGCTGCGAAGTCGTAGCACTACAGGAATTTTGCTGGACGTGACAAAGGGTATGGAAGATCGGGCATCAACGTGGCACCACCAACGAGCTGGGAACCGGCTTTATACTGTTGGAAAAGATGCGCCAACGCGTGACTGGTTGGCAGCCGATTTGTGCTGCAGACTAGCTTATACAGGCAAAAATTAGCTGTATAAGCCAATTTTTGGCTGCATAAGCTAATCTGCAGCTAAAATTGTTAGTTGGATTAGCTTCGTTGCCTGCCGGATCCAAATGCTTTGAGATAATTCTCAATGATGTTATGTTCCAAGCCTGTAAAACGTACATTTCAACATCTCAGTATGGATTTTTTCCGCAACGTTCAGTCATCACTAATCTGTGTGAATACACGTCGTTTTGCATCAGCGAAATGGAGCAAGGAGGTCAAATCGACAGCATATACACTAGACTGATGCAAATTTTGACATTTTTGCTCCACAATGCTCAAACGGTTCCAAATCGGGTCCTGATTAGTCTCCCAAAATTTGAACTCATTCGATACGAAACTGACTTGGCACAAGCCATTTGAAGTTTATATGGAAATTACTATAGGAAAACCAAATGTTTCGTACACATCCATCTAACAATTTACCATATCGTACTACTTTAAAAAATGATAACTGAGCTCGTAGCAAATTTTATCAGCTACAACTTTGTCCAAAACCACTTTTCAATATAATGTAAGCATCAAAAGTTATCAATAATTCAAGCCACTAATGTCTTATGATTATGCTCAATCAACTGTTCAGCAGGCAACATTGGTGTTTCTGGCGCTTGGAATAGAGCACAAAAATCATGGCTACTATGTCACACTACAAGGTACAGTGTAGCTCACAAAACAGCTGCTTGATCATGCCATAAGATTATCAATCTCCTAAACAATTAATAACTATTTTATTTGACGTTTGGCTCAACAACTATATTCTGCTAAGTTGTAGCTGAGAAAATTTTCCATAATTATAGTTTTTGAATTTTTTAACAGTGCAATATGGAAAAAGGTAAGAAGACAATGAACAAAAAGTTTGGATTTCCTATAGTAACTTCCATATAAACTTCAAAAGTTTTGTGCCAAGACAGTTTCTTATCAAATGAGTTCAAATTTTGGGAGACTAATCAGGACCCGATTTGGAACCGTTTGAGCACTGTGGAGCGAAAATGTCAAAATTTGCATCAGTCTAATATACACTGACATAAAGGCTGCGTTCGACTCAGTTAATCACGATATTCTGTTGGCTAAGCTGGAGTGACTAGGAGCATCTTCGAGAATTTGTAGTTGGCTTAGATCATATTGTTCGTGAAAATTGGATCAGCCGTGTCTGCACCTTTCATTCCTCGATGTGGGGTGCCACAAGGGAGCAACTTGGGGCC